CTCTCTCTCTCTCTCTCTCTCTCTCTCTCTCTCTCTCTCTCTCTGTCTGTCTATCTCCCTCCCTTGCATTAAGGAAGGAAATCTGAGCCGAATTCCTAGCCCTTTTAACATTTTGAGACAGGGTTTTGCTCAATTGCCCAAGCTGGGCTCACACTTGGGTCATCCTACCTCAGCCTCTCAAGTAGTTGGGATTATAGGAGTGCCCCACCGCCCTGGTGTCCACCTGTGTCTGTCTTTGTATGGCTCTATCTCAGCTGGCAGCGGAAGATGCTTACGTTCCAGTCCAGTGAGGTGACATCCTTATTGCTCGGGACGTCGTGGCCCCCTTCGCGGATACAGTGCCTCAGCACGAGCTGCGTGGAGCTCCCACTGCTGCTCTCGTTCAGGTTCCATATCCTAGCGGTGGAATCGCCGGACCTGCACAAGGAAACACAGCAGGTTGCACCCTGGCGGCGGTACCAGCATCAGCGGCCCGCACCAGGAGCTGAGCTCAGGCACTAGCCCTTGGATGGCGGGGTCTTCTTCAGCATGGGGCCTGTCCTCTCCATCCCACTAGCTGTGGTCCCTCCTCGCCATCCCGGATGAATACCTTTGTAGAGCTATGTATTGCACTTGCCCACAGCAGAAATTACTTGGGACAACGCTGGCATCTCCACAGAGCAGGGCACTCCTGGACAGAGGTCCCACCATCCAGGACACCAGAGTGAAATCCTTACCCAGAAGCTAGCAGATCACTGACAGGATTCCAGGCACAAATGAACACCTCGGACTCGTGACCCCGGAGGACAGTGGCTTTGCTGGGTGGAATTTCAACGTCTCCATCTATTTCCATGGGCTTCGAGTGGTTATCTGTTAGAGGTGAAAGACACACAGGCTAACTCATGCAGGAAGCAGGTGCCCACAGTGCCTTCTGAGCAACGTTGTACCCAGGGCCTCGCTCAACTGTGGCTGCCATGCCCTGGTATTCCCACAGCATTTGCGCAGCATGGTGGCTTGGGTGTGATTTGACCCTGGTGTTCACATTGCTGGGGGCTGGGTGCCCAGCTATGGAAATGATAAGAGCCGGCAGTGCCCCAAAGTCATTCCTGGCCCCGCCCAGTCTGCTCAGACTTCCTGTTCTACACATTGCTGTCCCCTCACACGTCCCCACCCCCATGTCACGTCCAGATGTCTGCAGCTGGCCCCAAGCTGCCTGACTTTCAGTCTCCAACACTGTGAATGGAGTGATTAAGCTTCCTTTATAAAGCATTCAGCCTCAGCCAGGCGAGGTGGCGCACACCTGTCCTGCTAGCACTCAGAAGGCTGAGGCCAGAGGATCATTGTGAGTTCGAGACCAACCTGCACTACAAAGTGATCTCAAGGCCAGGCTGGGCTGCGTAGTGAGACTGTCTCAAAAAGGCCAAAACTACTCAGCCTTGGGCATTCTATTATAGTAACTGAACACAGATACAGTCAGGCTTCCAATCTGACTGAGAGACAAAAGCTGTTATTCATCCTTTCAAACTGGGGCCGCTGACTATGAGGAAACCTCGCTTACTGCTGCCTGCTCATGTTCAGGCTTTGCCTGCAGCTGCTAGTGGGCTGCATGTGTCCCCCACAAGCCACACGGCGAAGATCAGGAGGACCCGACCCACACCTGGACCCTGGCCTTCTGCCTGTGGGGCCGGGGAAATGAACGCCTTGGTGGAAACTCTCTTCCCGGTACCGCTTCACAGCCACCAAGCGGCCCACAGGGTGGAGTGCAGGGCCTCAGAGCGTCAGCTGGCCGCGTTCTGTCTGTTCCCGGAAAGGTGGCCAGCGACATACAAGTGAGAGGGAAATCAGCAGCACAGTGGGACTCTCAGGCAGGGGACAGCGGTTCCAACTGGCCGGGTTTATAGTATGGTCACATGTACTTCCTTATATCTTTTCTGCAAAAGTTTATGATGAAAATGAAAAGACAGACTGCTCATTGGGGGCAGACTGCCTGGAATTATACTCCTCCTACTTCAACACACAAAAAAATAAGAAAAATCCTGCAGTCCTGCCTGCGCCAAGAAGTCCACTGTCAGGGGCCCCAGCACTCCCCGGAGCCCCCGTACTGACTGTGAGAGCTGCACCTATTCCGCTGCAGAAGGTCTCTTGGGGTGCGACAGCTGAGGAGGCCTGGTGTCCCCAGCTACTCAGCAGTATGGGGTCCTGGGGACCACAGGAAGCACAGCAGTCACTGAACACTTGGCATAGGCAGCCTGGGAAGGCTCCGCCTCTCGGGCTGTGTGAGCAGGGGCCAAGGTGGCCATATTGGGCTGTGCCTCAGGCTGCAGAGCCATCAGCAGGGACCACACACCCATGAAAAAGAGGTCGGTTCTTGGGGTAGGGTGCAGACCTGCTCTGACGCAAGCAGAGGCCTCTTAAGTTTCCTTGAAACAGCTTGGGTTCCTACAGAAACCCAGACCCAAGACACTGGCCCCTTTCCTCTCTGGCTTGGTTTTTTTGTTGTTGTTATTTTTAGACAGGGTCTCACTATGTAGCTCAGGTTGGCCTTGAGCTCACTCTGTAGCCCAGGCAGGTCTCCAACTTGCAACAATCTTCCTGCCTCAGCCTCCCAAGTGCTGGCTGGGATTACAGCCATGCCTGGCTGCTTGTTTTTTTTAAAGACAAGGTCAAGCTTAGGGTGTCCTTCAACTTGCTGCAATCCTCCTGCTTCAGCATCCCAAAGCACAGGAACACAGACATGCAGTCCCACCCTTGGCCCCGGCCTGGATTGAAAGAATTTTCTGAAGTGGGAGTGAGTCGGTGCAAAGCGTTCTCAGCCCAAGCACATTCCATGACTTGAGCTGCTAAAAAAAAAGAGAGAGAAAGAAAAGCTAATATTCGTCTCTCTATGACACAGAGCATGCCTGAGGTCCTACCGTCGGCTGGCGGACACCTGCCACAGGAGGCACCAGGGCCGTGGAGTTAACTCGGCCATGACAAATAGTGCATTGTGCCAGCAGGCCAGGGAGGGGACAAGCATTTGCTCATGTGTCAAAACAGAACAGGCTGGAGTGCACCTCAGTGAGGCGGCCCCCACGCCGAGGAGGCTTCCACTGGCAATGTCACTGTTCCTTCGGAACGCCAGAAAGCACCATCCTGCTCCCTGGACTCCAGTGTTGCTTCTCGGTGAAGCTACCATCACTGTCTGGAGGCTGCTGGCCCCAAGGGAAGCTGCGGGTGCTCGAACCTACTTGCCCCTGGACAGCCCATGCTGCTGGCTGAGTGCTATGGCCACAGCTTGGGTGCGCACATCCCCGAGACTCCCATGGTAAAGAAGCCGGCCCTCCGCATGTGAGAAGCGAGCCGGCCTCAGGCCCTGGCAGACCAAGGCTGTCCGCCCACAAGCTGTAGGGTGCGTGAAGGCACTTGCTTTGCCCTGATCCAACCAGCTCAGCACAAACACGGACACCGAGCTATGGTTTCTTAAGGTCTGAAATGCAGCTGCAGCGTTCAATCGTTTGCACAAAATCTTCTGCACGGATTTCTCAGAGTGAAGCAAGGACAAGTGACTTTCTGTGATGGGAGGCTACAAACACACCTATGGCCAGTTGCTTCTGGTTGACTTGAGGATCATTCCTGTGTTGGGGACAGCCAATAAGTGACCTGGTAGGACAAGCCAGGGCGTCTCATCCCTGCTCCAGAGTTCTTCAGCTGCATGAATACTGACTAGAGTCTGAACTCTTGGGTCTTTTTATCCCGTGCTAGGCAGATGGCCTTTATGTCGCCTGTCACAGAAACTGTTGGACAATTTGTGGGCATGGTGTGATTCTGGAGCCAGACAGAGAAACTTCCAAGGCTCACCTGCTTGGGCCTTCGGCTGGCCACTGGCCACAGTACTCAGCTGTGGGCTACAGCCATGTCAGAGGTGCTCAGTCACCCTCTACATGCGGAGGCTGTGGAGATGGGACACCCATTGGTAAGGTGCAGGTGCCAGTCTTCTAGACTGGCCGCTGGGGTGGCCCGGGTGCTTCAAGAGAAATTATTTCCAAGGAGAGAACATACACTCATGAACATACACATGCACAGACATGTAGACACGTGCTCACCGCATGAGGCACGCCCCTCACACATATACACACAGGCATACATATGCACCCATGGGCCACAGGCAGTCACACACACATGCAACATGTTTGTACACACATACACACACAAGCATCTGTATGCTTTAACTGTAGAGCCGAAGCAGAGGTCCCCAGTATCTATGAAGCAGAGTGTCAAAGTCAGGCCTGGGTAGAAACTCAGGCTCTCTGACTTATTTGCCAAATATTCCTGGGCAGTTACCCCAAGGGGGCTCATCTCTTGGGGCTTTCCAAGACCAGCTAGGAGGTTGCCCCTGCCCGGCTGTGGCCTGGACATCACCATGAGGTCAGTTCGTTCCTGTGGTGTGACTGAACACCCTCCGCACGGAGGCGTGGAGGAGGAGAGGCCCCAGGAACTTGCCCTGTGCGCTGTTCTTGCTGGCCAGTCTAAGAGCTGGAAAGTCTCCCACGAGGAGAGATTGCGGTGCCCAGCAGAAGAGCAACATTTCCTACAAGCGCAGCCACGGGAGGAAGACTCGAGTCTGAGGACTGTGAGGCGCTGCTGGCCACCTGGAAGCAAGCCTCAGACACGACTCTAAAGCCCCAGGGAGCAGGCTGGGCTGCCGAAGTCCCTCCGATGTGCCCAGCTGCGGAAGCGCACCCACAGGAGCCCAGCAAACCGCCCCACACTCACTCATCGCGTGCTCTCCATTCTCCTCCCCGTTCACCGTGGCCTCTCCGTTCTTCGGAGGGTTTGGCTGGGCAACAGCTGCCGGGGCCGTGGTGGCTGCTGTCGTTGCCGTTGCTGTTGCTGCGGCCGCGGCTGCAGCTGCGGCGGCGGCGGCGGCGGCCGCTGCTGCGGCTGCGCTAGCTTGCTGCTGAGCGAGCTTCTCCCGGAACGCCTGCTGCCGCGTCTGCACCACGTCGGGCATCACAGCGTCTATCAGGGACAGGGACTCTATGGGGCGGCCGTCAAACACCGTGCCATCCTGGGAAAGCAAGCAGGGCAGGCCGTGAGCTCTGAGAGCAGGAGGAAAGCGTAGCGCAAGGAGGGAGAGCCCACACTGCAAAAACATCGGGCTGAATCTGGGCCTAGGCACATCTGAACACAATCGCACCATCCCACGATGCACACTACCGCCCGAAGTGGTGATTCTCTAGGATGGGAGGGCTTGTCTCCTCGGTTGGGGGGCGCTGCTCAAAGTCTGGAACGTACTGCCTACTGGACTCTACTGCCGCCTAGCGGGTGGAGGCCAGCAATGCTGCGTGACCCCCTGAACACACAGGATATCTTTGGCGCTGATAATCCCAGACCCAAAGGCTGAGGTTGAGGTGGGACATCCTTTATGGGGGAAGAGGGCGCTCTGGGATCACCCAGGCCGAGTTAGAGGTGACCACATCACACAGGGCTAGATGCCTGGCACATCTGATGGAATAAAATAAGCACTTGTTGCCACTTGAAAGGACTCCCTCAATTCCAAGGGTAGATTAAATACAGGCCTTAGACAACTGACAACAAAACTGCTTGGTTCTGTTCAAACTTCTAAAAGAAGGGGGGCCTGCCCCGTAGCTCAGTTGTTTAAGTGGCTGTTTCAACGAAGCAGTCAGGCTCAGGTTGCTGTGGTTCGATCCCCACAACTCAAGCCAGCCAAACCTGCCCTGAAGCCATTCCGAGAAAAAAAAAAAAAAAAAAAACTTACAAACTTCTAGAAAAAGGAGAGCAGGCTAAGCCCAACACTAGCATGTGGGAGAAAATTATAAAGATCAGAGCAGAAATTAACACATTGGACACTGAAAAAATAATACAGAGAATCAAAGGGTTGGTTCTTTGAAGGATTAAATAAAACTGACAAACCGTTATCCAACCTTATCAAAAAAAAGGAAAGAAAAAACTCAAATTCACACAATTAGAAATATAAAGGGTGAAATCACAGTGAACCTGCAGATAATCCTCTATAACTACCGGGAAAACTTATATTCTAGTAAGATGGAAAATGCGGAAGAAATGGACAGATTTCTGGATACATATGGATTACCAAAGCTGAATAAAGAAGATATAAAAGCTCTAAATAAACCAGTATCGATCAATGATATTAATGGTATAATTACATACCTACCAACAAAGAGAAGCCCAGGCCCTGACCAATCCACTGCTGAATTCTTTAAGAAATATAGAGAAAACTCAACACTACTACTACCCAAACTCTTTAATGAAATTGAAAGGGAAGCTATACTCCTAGATTCATTCCTGGAGGCAAGTATTACCTTGACATCAAAACCAGATAAGGATCCAGCTAAGAAAGAGAATTACTGGCCAATCTCACTAATGAACATAAAACACAAAAAATATTCATTAAGATACTGACAAACCGAATGCAGCAAATCATCAAGAAGATTATACACCACGAGCATGTGGAATGTATCTTAGGGATGCGGGGACGGTTCAACATATACAAATCAATAAATGTAACAGACCACATTACCAGAGTCACAGACAAAAATCACAGTCATTTCAATAGACACAGAAGAAGCTTTTGACAGAATCCAGCACCCACTGATGATAAAAGCCCTACAGAAATTGGAACAGATGACCTTTATCTCAGTCTGATCAAAGTCATCTATGACGAACCATGAGCCGACATCATACTAAATGAACAAAATCTGAAAACTTTGTATCTGAAATCAGGAACAAAGTAAGAATGTCTACCATGACCACTCTTATTCAACACAGTCTTGGAAATTTTAGCCAGCACAGTTAGACAAGATGAAGAAATAAAAAGAATAATGATAGGAAAAGAAGAGGTTCAATTCTCATTATGTGCAGATGAAACTTCTCTGGAAAAGGAGATTAGAGCAAATATCAGAAAATGGAAAGACAGCCTTTGCTTGCGGGTAGGAAGAAGCAATACAGTGAAAACGGCCTGCAGTGTTTTCTAACTGGTGGGCAACTTATTACAACCAGCTAAACTGAACTAGTATGGTGCTGCGAGGGGGAGGACCACCTGAGGGCTGTTGCCAGCAGCGCAGACAGAACAGGAGAAGCTGTTGGGCACTGCTCGTTCTCCTGGGCCATTCTGCGGGAGGACCCTGTCATGCTTACTTTCTCGATGAGCTTTGGAGGCGCTCTGGTCCTCATTTTGAGCATCGCTTCCCGGCTCCAGAGGGGAAGACGGTGCACTGCTCAGCCTCATGGAGAAATCTGTCACACTGGCTTACCTGCTGGGAACTTGGTTTTCCTCGTTGCTGGAGGAGCTCAGGACCTTGCTGTTGCTGAGGATGGCTGTGCTACTTTTGGGGGAGCTCTGGTGCCTACCCTGAGCACTGCTTCCTGGCTCCAGTTCAGATCCCTCAGCCTGCTGGCACAGATTTCCTAGCTTCTACCACTGACCCTTGGGCCTTTCCGGCACAGATCCATGAAATGGACCTACATGAGACTTTGTTGTGGGCTCTGGGCCTCCAGGTGGACTTGTAGGAGGCATTGTTATGAGCTCTAGGTTTTCAGCTAGACTCATGTAGGATATTAGGATCCAGATCCTCAGCTGGAGTCTTTTATTATTTATGTGTGTAGACAGAATTCCTGTACTTCTTGCATATGATTCTTGGGCAATTCATTATAATATACTATTTTAAAATGTGTCCTGTATTAGATTGTTCCCCTTGCAGGAACCCCAAACCACGACACGGCCATACCTCCGAAACTGTTATACAGATTTAATGCAATTGTCATGAAAATTCCAACAGCATATGACACAGAATTAGAGAAGACAATCCTAAAATTCATTTGGAACCAGAAGAGACCTAGACTAGCAAAGGCAATTCTGGGCAACAAAGCCAAGGCAAGGGGCATCATAATCCTTGACTTAAAATTATACTATAAAGCTACTGTGATAAGAACAGCATGGCAGTGTCAAAAAAACAAGCCAAAGGATCAGTGGAATAGAGTAAAGATGCAGAAACAGCTCCCAACATACTCAGCCTCCCTATCCTTGACAAAGGTACCAAACACATTCACTGAAGAAAGCCTATTTATTTATTTGAACCAAGCACCAAACGCAGGACCTTGCATTTGCCAGGTAGCGCTTGTACTGCTGAGCTCCATCCCTGGCCCAAGCCTCTTGCAAAAATGATGCTGCAAAAGCTGCCTTTGCAAATGCCGCAGATTAAAATTGGACCCGTATCTTTCACCATGCACTAAACTAAATGTGAAATGGATCAAAGGTCTAAATATTAACAGAGAAATATTAAGTGTGCTGGAAGACAGAAAAGTAAAACTCTTGGAGACACTGGTGTAGGCGAAGACCATGAATAAAGGCCGACCACACGGGAAATATCACAAAGCACCAACTACTGGGATCGTATCTTACTGAAAAGTTTTTGCACATGAAAAGAAATCACCAACAGAATAAACAGAAAACTCACAAATTTGAAAAAAAAACATTCGCCAATGGTCCCTCAGACAAAGGACTTCTATTTAGAACATATAAGGAATTCTGAACATATAAGGAAGGGAAAGACATCAGGTCCCCGAAGAGTAAAGAATGCAATCAAACAATGGGCATCTGAGATGAATACACGCTTCTCAGAGGAAGAACTACCAACAGCAAATAAATATATGAAAATCTGTTCAACACTACCTGTCATTTCAGAGCTGCAAATGAAAACAACAATTGAGGTGCCATCTCACCCCAGAACGAATGGTTGTCACCAAGAAGTCAACCAGTAACAAAGGCTGGCGAGAGCTGTGGGGTAAGGAACCCTTCTCCACTGCTGGTGGGAGTGCAGACTGGTACAACCACTGTGGAAATCAATATAGAGTTTCCTCAAAAAATTAAGATTGGAGGTCTCATTCAACCCAGATATTTTCCTTCTGGGTATCTTCTCAGAAGAACTGAAAATACCACAACACAGCAATTATGTGCACCCGCATTTACAGCAGCACAATTTTGTCGTAGCTAAATCTTGGGAAACAGCCTAAATGCGCAGCAACAGAGGAATGGATCAAAAAGAAGTGAAACTTTTATGAATGGAGTACTGGAGACTTCTATGGGTAAATGAATACAACCCAAGACATACTCCAAGTGAGACGAACCACATGCAAATGTGTAAAAAAATACTGCTTCCCTAGTTTGAGAATCTGAAAGAGGAAATGAGATCCAAAATGCACAATAGATATGGTAAAATGAAAAGAATCTTTAAAAGGGAAGAGAAACTGGGATGGGGGATGGGAAAAAGAAGGAAGGGAAAGAATATATATGTATGATAGTTGACATAGTTACTATTTTCTCTTAAGTTCACTGAAAAAAAGGTTTGTGCGAGTGCTGTTAATTTTTTTCCTGTCTTTTTAAATTTTCATAATTTTTTACCAGCTTTGAATGCTTATATTAAATCGAACAATTAATTTGAAGACAACATCATGCAATATAACTACCACTGTTGAAGCCTTATCATTTTTAGTGAAATTCTGTATTGTTTCTAATGTTTTATTTTACTTTTTTTGCTTTGTTTGGTTTGTTTACTATTTATTTATTTATTTATTTATTTGCAATACTGGGGACTGAACATGTGACCTTCCGTTTGCCAGGCAGGCACTTATACCGCTAAGCTGTATTCCTGGTCCCTCTTTTACTATTTTTTAAATTCTCTTTTAAAAAAAAGAAAGAAAAGAAAATTGCAGGGCAAGCTCTTTCCTTGGGAAGTGCTCCCATGGCAGGTTATGAAGAACCCAAAGTAAATCTGGGCTCTGTCCAGCCCTTGCACCGAGCAGCGATTACCTCGGCAACGAGGGAGGGAGAGGCCAGGGGCAGAAGATCCGGGATTGCTGGGCTAATTCTAGAGTACAATGCCACACTCGAGATACAAAGAAGAATGCACGGCAGCACAACATCTCCTCCTCACTGCCCTGTCCCCTGGGCTCTGGTCAGGGGATGGCCGGGGCTGAGCAATCCAGGTGCTTCCCTGTCACCCTCCTCTCCTCTACAGTCCCATTCCAGACGACTGCGTCCCAAATGCAGCCACCACCACGTAGTAAAAGCGTGTAAAAGGCTTGAGTTTAAGCCCTGAAGCATATCATGTCTGTCTGCCCGCCTGTCTCTCTCTCTCAATGACTGAAAACGAGACGGGCATCCTTCCTTTGCCTTCGGTCGTAGCGGCCTTTGAATGGAAAGGCCAGGGTTGTGCATGTGGCAGATGATACAGGAGAAGTGTGAAGGCAGAGGAAACTGCCCGATGACACTGGAGAAAAACCTAAGGGCATCCAATGAGTGGAAAAGGAAAGCCCGGTGTGTGCCTAGGTGGGGGTGCAGGACTACAGTGGGGGACGCCCCAAGACAAAAAACTGGGTAGACCAGGTTAGTACCCGAGCAGGAAGTGACACAGGACACCCGGCGTGGGGCAGAACATGTGTTCAGGTCAGGGGGGGAGGGGAGGAAGGGGGAGGGGGAGGGGAAGTGGGGAGGGGAAGAGGGGGAGGAGGAGGAGGAAGAAGGCGGACAGAGGAAGGGCCGGGAAGCATGTAGCCTTGAAGGAAGAGACTTGGCCACGGACCTCACAGAGAACTCTGGGTACAGAGCCAGGGCGAAGGGCAGACTCCCAGAGCCCAGACAGCTCTCTCTCGAATCTGGAGTGCAATCAGCATGACCCCGCGATGGGCCCGCTGTTAACGCAGAAGGGAACCTGAGTGAGGGGGCGGGCAGGGCCACCCCGGCGCGGGCTGCCCACCTCGTTGATGCTGATCTCAGCCTCCACATACTGCAGCCCCTTCTGCACGATGGAGATGAGGGCAGCCGGCGGCACCAGGGTCCCGTTGATGTTGGACTGGCTGATGTGGCTCTCAATCCCGAACGTGAAGGCCGAGTGGGAAAAACCTGCAGGGTGCAGAAAGACAGGCCACGGTGAGGGGCGTGTGGTGGGGATGCCGCCACCCACAGGTCGGACAGCACTGCTTCACTAGCATGCTAAGTAGGCCGTGGCGCTGAGGGGGTTCTGATTTGGGGTCGGGCAGGCGGAAGCAGGAAGAAACACAAGACCAGGAGTATTGGGACCCTAGCCCCTTCCTGTCTCTCTCCTGGCTTCCTGTGTATCATGAGGTAAGCCACACTTTTGTATCCCACAGTGCCACCACTTATCTCTCTCTGTTCACTGCAAGCTCAAAAAGGCCCCAGGGCCGTGTGACCAGGGACTGGAACCTCAGAAACCATGAGCCCAAATAAACGTTTCTTTGTTATAAGCTGATTACCTCAGGTACCTTGTTACGTAACAGGATGCTGACGGACTGGCATTTTGTACACATGATGCAATTCAAAGCCAAAGAACATAATATCCAAAAAATGCTGCCCGTACAGCACACTACAGAGGGCTGCTTCTTTCCCCAAGTGCTGACATAGGTCTGGTACCAAGACACAGGATCATTTGCCTACTGCAGGCCTGGGAAAAGACCGCCTCCCCCAGCATCTGCAGCACAGTGCCTCCAGGGTTCCTATCATTTTTGTACCAGCATGAAAAAAATCTAAGTCAAAGCATTCTACATCGAGGCTGCCTATATTAAGAAGCACACAATGACAAGAGCTTGGGCTGGAGAGATGGCTCAGTGGTCTAAAGCACCTACTTGGAACAAGCTTGGCAAAGCATCAGGGGACCGCGGTTCAATCCCCCAGCACCACATGCCAGCCAGCCCCGCCCCCTGGTGGACTGAGCTGGCCACACACACACACACCACTCTCTCTCTCTCTCTCTCTCTCTCTCTCTCTCTCTCTCTCTCTCTCTCTCCTCTCTCTCTCTCTCTCTAATAAATAAATAAATAAATTAAAAAAAAAAAATGACAAGAGCTTGGCCCGAATGCCCTGAGTGAATGTTTCTGTCACACACACTCAAATGTAGGTGCCCACAGGCCCCAGTTCGGATCAGTCTGCACAGTCTCGGTGGTAAATCTCTGTTCCCTGCTGTGAAAACACACACACACACACACACACACACTCACGCGCGCGTGTGTGCAACCACCCCCCAACCACCCCCCCACACACGTTTTTCTTCGGCCCAAGGTGTCAGTGCCTGGCTTGGAACACTGGCAGGTGCACACGGCCCAACGGCTCACACACCCGAGCACCAAAAGGAAAAGACAAGGTCTGGGATGGTCAGCATGAAACTGAGTCCCTTTCTTGAAAGAGGAGGAATTTCTCCCTTTTTTTTTTTTTTCTTTCTGTATTTAGGAAAGGGTCTACAGGGTCTCACTATGTAGATCGGACTCGTAGTAATCCTCCTGTTTTCGGCCTCCCATAGGCTGGGATTACAGGAGAGTCGCCCACCCACCCCCAGCCAAGCTGCTGCCTCCGCACACCCCACAGGAGGGCCCAGCACAGCACGCAGGGGATCCAACTCCGGCCACAGCGCTCTGCCTAAGCAGGTGCTTTAGTCCGCGGAACTATCAGGCCGGCCCTTCCCTTTCTGTTTCTGTGCTTTTCCCCCAGGGCGTGTGAGGAGGGGTGGGCATGACTCCTTCGCCTGTGTCTCTCAGCGATGCTTACAGATTTCCAGGCACGGCCAGGCAGCTTTGCGTGACGGCCACCCCGGAAAGAAAATGTTGCAAATGATGCTTTGGTGTTGGGGGCAAATGGCTACCCGAGCAAAACGAGACGCGAAGACGCCCTGGGCAGGGGTGCAAGGAGGGCGCCGAGGAGACTGGGAGGGCTCAGGACAGAAAGCTGGCACCAGCAAGTCCAGGCTGCAGGGTGACCTGCTCCCCACAGCCTGCGGGGCGAGGAGTCTCAGGTTCCCTGGGAAGCAGAGGCCCGGGGCCGGACGCTTGTGGGGAGCAGCGAGGACCCCCACGCTCACGCCACCTGGGCAGACATGGGAGGGGCCAAAGGCAATCCCTCAGTGCGTCTTAAACTTGCACTCTCCAGCTTTCTCTCATGCGGGGCCGACCTCTGGAACAGCGCTCGGAATTCTGGGCTAGGATGCCGCGCTCTCCGTTTAGGGAACATGTCACGGATGCAGGCTCAGAACCTTCGGAGCTGGGAGCACGCACAGCCCCTGGACAAAGGCTTCGCTTCCCCTCGCCAAATCAGACTACACACGCCGCTGCAATAACGGAGAGGTCCACCAGGGGGCAGTGTCGCTCCACAACGCAGCTGCCGAGCTGGTCCTCCTTCCTCCTCCTCCACTCTTCCTCTGCACGCCCCCCTCCAGTTCCACCCACCTTCCTCCCCCATGCCTGCTTATAACAAACCCATCGAATATGCAGCTGATATTTACCTGATAAAGCAACATGGCAGCTGCCTCTTATTCTACAATCAGTTGTGCAGAGCCACCGGTGCTTCTTGACACAACTGTACATACCCCACACCTCACTTCTCAGACCCTCAGGGATTTGGTGCTGGGGCCTGTGGCAATGGCTAAGATCAAAGAGTCACAGGGTGGAGCCTGGCTGCTTTAGAGAAGCCTCGAGTGATGGGCTGTTCCTCCTCCGTGTGACACCCCACAGGGGCTCAGATTCTGCCAACCAGGCCGCCACAGTATATGGCCCATAGGCCTAGAGTCTCCAGACTTGCTGGTCCAAAGAAACCTCTTTTCTGGATGAAGTATCTCCCTTTGGGCATTTCATCACAGCGACACCAGACTCACACAGCCGAGGGCAGAGGAGGCATGCTTTACAGCTGACCTCACTTGGACCCAGCTTTTCCTCTCCCTATCCTATCCACCACCGTTACCCTGACCACCAGAGATGGAGCGAAGCTTCCCTTCTCTGTCCACCGTCATGCTCTTTGCTACCGAGTCTCCTTCCAGATAGCATTGGTAAAGGCCTCCGGCCAAGGCCTGCTGACCTCACCCACCCCGGGTAGCTGGAGTCATGCACTGGACCTGACCCGAAATGGAGCACCCCCACGAAGACCCGCCATCGCCTGCCTTGGGTCACCACTGCGGCAAGTGCTCCTCCCGCCTGAGCCTTACACCAGTGCCCTCTCTGGGGCTGGGCCCCTTCGGGGGCTCTGAACTACAGGCTTTTCCCTCCACTGACATGCATTTCAGGCAACCTGACTCCGGGGAGCGCTCAGTGGAGAGAGAATCTGGACAGGAAGGAGTCCCTGGAGGGAGGGCCAGAGCGTCACTTGGCTGGGGCTCCAACTGCCCTGCCCCACGTGCAGCTGTAAAGAACCTCAAGAAGCTCAC